AAAGGGGAACTTATAAATATGATGAATGAATTTCATGAGAGAAGTGCAGTTAACGTGAGCCTAACCTTTACTTTTATTGCTCTAACTCCTAAGAAGTGAGTAACTGAAAGTTTGAGTGACATTCGCCCTATTATTCTATTGACTAGCTTATACAGGATCATTGCAGAATGCCTTGCTTGTAGACTAAAAAGAGTTCTGCCCATGGTCGTTAAGGGGCCTCAATCAGCTTTCATAAAAGGGAGACAAATTACTGATAGTATTCTTTGTGCTCAAGAAGTTATTAGTTCAAGAATTGCTGACAATGATGCGAGTATTATATGTAATACCCAATTGATCTTGAAAAACCTTATGATAAGGTGGAGTGGAAAATTCTCTTACAAACCATGAAAGCTATGGGTTTGGTGAGAAATGGCTAATGTGGATTAAGGGGTGTTTAGAATCCACTCACTTTTCTATTTTGATAAATGGAAAACCAAAAGGATTCTTCAAAGCTTCGTGTGATATATGACAAAGGGATCTTGTGCCCCTTTTTCTATTCACTATTATGGTAGAGATCTTCAGTGTGATGTTGAATTTAGTAGTCGAAATGGGTTATTGAAAGCTTTTTCGATTAAACATAATGGGACAGTTGTATCGCATTTACAGTATGTGGTCAATACTCTAATTTTCTGTGGGGCTTCGGACCAGGAGATTAGAACCTTGAAGAGATTTCTTAATTGTTTTGAGGTTGTGATTGGCCAAAAAGTGAACCTAAAGAAAACTCAAATCATTGAGGTAGCATGTGAGGAAGAGATGATAACTAACTGTGCTGAAATGGTGGGATGTGGGGTAGGTTCCTTCCCAATCAGATATTTGGGTTTACCTCTTACTGCAAATGTGAGACCAAATGCATTATGGGATCCTCTAATCCAAAGAATGTAATATATGTTGGATTCATGGAAATTCAAGCTTTTATTTTTAGGTGGCAGATTGACTTTAGTAAAGGCAGCACTTGCTAACATGTCTATATATTATATGTCTCTCTTCCAAATACCAAATAAGGTGATTAAGAAATTGGAGAAGATTATGAGGACGTTCTTATGAGAGGAGAGTGAAGGGAAGAAATGCTTTAATTTGGTGAAATGGGAAAAAGTGTGTACTCCTTCTTGTGATGGAGGTATACTCCTTCTTGTGATGGAGGTATGGGGTAAAGAGCTTGAAATTGATGAATGGTGCATAGTTGACAAAATGATGGTGGAGATGTGCATCAGAAAAGACCAATTGTGGAGATGCATTCCTTTGAAAAATATGGTGAAGGTCTAGAAAATGGTATCGTAGTAAAAGGGGCAAATAAGAAATGTAAAATCAATCATGTGGAAAGGGATTGTGTCCTATAGAAATTTATTCTTAAGTAATTCAATAATAATGGTTGGAAAAGGGGATCGAGTGAGTTTTTGGCAACAAAAATGGATTGGGTATGCCTATGAAATTTCAATTTCCTAACCTTTTTGCTAAATTAACTTCGAAAAGTAAGATGATATATGAGATGGTGGAAGGACTAGGTTTCAACACTAGTTGGGATATTAGATGTAACTATCGAAGAGTAAGTAATCAAGTTACAGATTAGTATATATAATGCATTGGTTTGTTGCAGCAGTATTCTTAGTGCCCCCACAATGAAGATAGAGTGGTATAGGAACCTAGTAATACTGGTAAGTTCTCAGTTAAATCTGGTTATAGCCTTTTGTTTTATGACATAATTGGATGGAAGGATTCTGACTGTGGAAAAATATGGAAATGACCCATTCCTCAGAAAATCAGATGTTTCATTTAGTTAGTACATTTGGAAAAGGTTTTAACAGTGAATATGCTAAGAAAGAGAGGTAAAATTCTGCCAAATGTGTGTATCTTGTGCAAAGAAGATGAGGAGCCTACAAATCATTTGTTCCCAAGATGCAGGTATGCAAGATCGATTTCGGGGTGGGTACTTTGTTGGTTGGCTGTACATATGAATATCCAATCTCGGGTGGATCACATTATTAGTCAATTGAATATTGGTGGAATAGGAAAGAAAGGGAAGATTATTTGGAAAACAGTAAAAGGGCATGGGAAATATGGAAAGAGAGAAATAGAAGGGTATTTGAGGATGTAAGTAAAACAAATGTAAACGTTCAAGAAAAGATCAGAGTATCAGTAGCTGAATGGTTGGCTATTAGAGTTAAATGGCGGGGAGTGAGTAGAACAGATATCATGTATAACTTACATGAACTTCTTAAAGAAAAATTGATTAAGAGAATTAGAGTAGGAATTTGGAGAGAACCTGAAATGGGGTGGCTCAAATTAAATTTTGATGGAAGTTCAGCTGGAAATCCAAGGCCTGCTGGAATTGCTGGTTTTAGTTTAGAGTTTGTGAAGATAATGTTCTATTGAAATATTATGGACAAGTGGGAAAGAAAACTGCAAATGAAGCCGAGTTGAGGGATTTGCTTCAAGGATTGAAGCTATTAAAAGAATTTAACAAACATGTAATAGCTGAAGGGGATTCTCTTAATGTCATAAACTGGATGAAGAAAGAAAAAGAATATCCATGGAGACTACATGAATTGATTAGAGAAGCAGAAGTAGTGTGTTTGGGAATGGAAGTTTCTATCATGCATGTGTATAGAGAAAGCAATATGGAGGCTGATCGTTTGGCTAAAGATGGAGTTGCAGCTGAAGATTTATCAACCACTAAAATAAATGTGATCTGAAATTATTGATTGTTTAGTTTTGTTTCCTGTTTCCTGTTTCTGTATGTTGAATGATGTAATAGTTTAAGAGCAACAAAATTGTCATTGACTTAAAATTACATACTTTGGCAAGGGGTTATGGTTGTGGTCAGAAAAGCTTTGAATGGCATACATAAAAGCTTGAGAAGACTTTGAAAAATATTCAGAATTTATGTATGAGAAGTTCAAAGTGAGGAGCGATGAAGGGGAGAGATGGGAATGGCTTCCACCTAAGTGGACAACATGAAAGACTTGGAAAATGGGTCTGCAACATTTAGGGGTCGTTTGGTTTATATGAAAATAATTTCTGAAAATTTTTAACCTCCACAAAACAACTCTTAGCTACCGTCTGGTTAGTTTGCCAAGTACTTCAAATCCTCCTACCTCCCTCGAAACGGCCCGATATATACTTACTGACTGCAATTTTTAGCAGCTACAGGGGCTATCAATCTTGCTTATAGGCATGATGAAATACCAAATGAGCATCCCCGGTATCACCTGACAAATGACCCTCCCTTGCAGAAATAGAGGCATCATTCTCTTAATCAATTACAGAAACTGCCTCCCTCTCCCAGAGAGAAGAAACACATGGGACACATTTCAAGACATTTTAAGTGTGGTTGATTTTTAAAAAGGTGTTTTAAAATGCGAGATGCAGCCCAATGCATTGGGGTCAATGCAGCTCGATGTCTTTCAAATGTAGGTGCATCGCTGCGATGTGATCAATAAATATAAAAAAATTTAAAAATCTAAAAAAATAAGTTCATCATTATAACCTTTTTCCAATCAATTAGAGTCGGCTACAAGAATCATGGCATATGATAGTACGCATTTAATTTATTTATAACTCCAAAAATATCAGTTGCCGCATGTTGGCGATTCTGTATCAATTATCCCTTGGTAGAACTTAAAATCGTGAAACTAGCTTTATAAGACATTCAACAATTGTAATCACAAATTTGTGACCACAAAATTTAAAGTTACAAAATACAAACTAAATGTTTATGAAGATTAAAAAGTTCAAAAGCCATACTCAAGACAAATCATCATCATTTCTCAACTCTCGAGTCTTGAGATTAATGTCTTGAGATTCTAAATTTCAAATCCTAATTAGAGAAGTTATCTTGGAATGTGCATTATCATTTTAAACTTCATCTAAACTTCTTCGATTCAACACCCAAAAGAAATAAATCAACAACCAATCATCAAGCAATACAAAAATCTAATAATTCCACAGAAAATAATTTCCGTCACTTTTTTTTTTATTATTGATTTGACTAAAAATAAGTCATGGCCATTTTTAGTTTTTGTTTTATTATTGATTTTACTAAAAATAAGTCATGGATATGGCCATTTTTAGTTTGGGGGTATAATACCCCCAGAACCCTTTCCCCCTATTATTTTGAGCTTAAAATGTCTAAAATACCCCTGCCCGAGGGTTTTTCTTTCCCACAGAAATGGCTGGTTGCATATGCAGATTATGCAGGATGTAGACACATATACAGAGAGATGCAGTGCATTGCAGGAACATCCCTCTAAAGCACATATACGGCCTGCTGCGATGCACTCTCCCTCCAAAGCGCATATGCGGCCTGTTGCGGTGCACTGCCCAATGCATAATGCTTTATGGGCCGCATTTTTAAAACCATGCCATAAACTAAAGATTCTGGCTAGGCTGAACTTATTTGTTGCATCCCATCAAAAACATCTTTGAGATACAGAGTTCCACTCAACTCATAAGTGGGAATTAACGAAATTCCCAAGGCAATTGGGCTTTCGGATCATGATTTATTTCAACCCATTTAATGCTGATATACATAGGATTGGGAACCATGCCCTTTGGATTCTTGGCATGCCTGTAAAAGTTGCACAGAAAACACAAACCCACTATCCAAGAGTCCTACAATTTCAAAAGAAAGGGCTGCACGCAGCCCAGCGTATGTACAAAAGGAAAGATATTCACAGCTTCCGCTTTACATGACTTCAACATTCTGGAAAACTTTCCGACCATGAGATAATATTGTGCTGAAGCCATTATGATCGGATATCATTCATATCACACTTTTCCTCATATCAATTAACATACAGTTAAACCGTGGGACAGGACATTTGTCAGTACAATTTTTACATTGACATTGGTTAAGCAGTTCAGTTTTTCAGAGTCTAAAAGCATTAAGTCTAAGGATCCCAAAAATGTCATAACTAATGCATATGAGATGTTTAGTGAAACCGTGGATTTATTGTCTACACATCAGATCCAATTGGCAATCAAATAAACAACAATCAACGTGTCAGGCCAAATTTTCAGTTTAGCAAATGGCCCCTAGTAGCTGTGCAAACCAATGCATACAAAACATCAAATACGGAAAGGAATCAAGGCAGGTCCGTTACGTTGAATCCATAACAGATAAGATAAGGGAACATAACAGCAAGGCTCTATTGTGAGCTCCTTGTGAAGTTGATGGTATCTTTGAAAAATTTTCATAATTCTATACATAAAAGGGTTACACAGCAAATGGGGAACTAACCCCTTATTCACTCAAGCTTTGAAGAATTCTTTGACAAGTCGTACGGTCAATCAAATCAAGGCAAAACTGATTTCACCTCCTTCCTATCAGCACCGAATGCCTGAAGCAGTCAAAACAGAATAACAATAACATTATCAATAACAACAACAACAACAAACAATAATAAAGAAACTATAACATAATTACAATAAAAAAACAACTACTACCAATAATAGCAACAATAATAATAATAGAGAACTATAAACAAGCATAACAATAATTAGTATTAAGAACACCACCACCAACAAGAAGACGAGTAGAACAAGATACATTTAGCACATAAGCAGGATGCTACATGTAATTTCTACTCTCCATTTTCAAGGTTTATATTCGTCAATGTTTTGTTCACAGTACAATCAACAGATAGTACATGTAGCACATTATTTGTATGCTGTACATGGATCACAGAATAGAAATCAGAAGTACCAGTAGCAGTATTAGTAGTAGTTAGGAAAGTATTTTAAAACTCATTGTGCTGGATAGGAACTGTTGGGGACCGGCCCAAGTCAAGTCCCCCTAGGAGTCGGGACTCTGACCAGTTCACCCCAAAATCTTGTTTTAATGAATAAAATGTCATAAAACCACTGTTTTAGATTGATGTGAGGATCCTAAACCTTGTTTAAAAATTTTAAACAACCAAGATTTAGATTCACATTTTCTTTTCCTTTTAAATTAGCCGTGCCAACCAAGCCGGCCAACCAGCTCAGAACTGGTGAGTGACCTGTTTGACCCACCATAAGATTTCAAAAACATTGGTCAGGAGTAGCAGTAGCAATAGCAGTAGCAGCAGGAGTTCAGTTGCAGTAGTAGCAGTAGTAACACTAGCAGCAACAGCAAAAGTAATGGTAGCAGCAGCAAGAGTAGCAGTAAGAGTAATGATAACAAAACAACAATAGTAATAATAAAGAAATATAATCACGATCAAAATTGCTACTGCTACTCGTATTATCAAAATAACTACTGCTAGTGCTATTGTCATGATCAATAAAAGAATGATAACAAAACCAAAAAACAACAATAACAATAAAACAATAACAATAACAATAAGACTGAGAACAAGAAGAGCAAAATAAGCACTCCTGTTGAAAAAGGTAATGCACCTCAGTTCCATAACCCTTCACATATACATCGGAGAATAGACCAGAAGGATCAGGCATGGGACTTTCCTGCACAACAAAGCACAAATGATAGAACATTACAGCATAAGACTTTTTTTTACCAACTATAAAATCAAACTACTTTGCATCATAAAGGAAATGCTTGGATTCTTCCAATAAGGCTGACCTTGGCTTTAGCAATTGCTTCATCTACTTCTTTTTTAGCCTGTTTCTCAATATCCTGCACCAACCACTTGCTTGTGAGGCCAGAGTAGGGCCCTCGATGTGCCAAATGGCCAAAGACAGCCCAACTTAATTTCAAAGTTTCTAATTACAGGCATCCAGATCAGGCTCTCATACAGACAATTTCCAATTGAAGCCCAAAAATAATTCATTCTTGGTCACTGATCCGAAAACATTTTAGCAAATGGACTAGTTTTTGTTAGAGATAACGTGGAAAAATGACCGTACTGACCTTTAGCTCAGCCACTGTAGCAATATCATTTCCTAAGATAAGCTTCCTTACTCTCTCAAGTGGATCACGTTCCTGCAACAAAGTAGTTGTAACATAGAAATCCATGAGAAACGATAGAAGCAACTGAGCTCAGTTGCCTTGAACAATTGTAAACCTCAAATCCTACCTGCCTCACACCAGAAATCTCATCACGAGTGCGGTATGTGCTCCCAGGATCAGACATTGAGTGCCCATGATACCTATAGGTATCCATTTCAAGAATCTGGAGATTTTTGAAAAAACTTCCAATTAGTTGGCTATCATTTTGGCATCAATGCACCAAGATAAATACTCAGATAAGAAGTCGCAATTTTGAGTACAATCCACTTTCACAACTGCCAGCACAACTATTCCTAGTTCCACAACAGGAAAACACATTGAGAAAAAAGAATCACAGATTTGCTCTTTCTCTTTGAACAAAACAAGAAGCGCCAACAAAGATGGCAGTGAATTTGGGGACTAATAACCATTGGAAGAAATGAATATGATTTTTCCAGATATATATCTGAAAATTCAAAATGCAAGACCATGTCACTCATTTGATTTTTTTTTAATAGGTAAAACATGCTGTCATTGTTGAGCTACATGTTCCATCCAACCCAAAACCTTAATCGCTTCATCACAGAAAACAAATAGGTTGAAGTAAAAAGACTAAAAACAATCTATCCAAACATGTCCATTGTAATAAAAGACTATTTGCAACCTATCGCTTCAAGGCTGTGAAGTGATAACATAAGCTAAAGGAAGTATATATCTGAAAATATCTCAATAAACCCACGAGATCTCTACATCTTGAATCTCTGCAATATTCACCATGGCATCCTTGTCAAACAGCGTGAAAGCCTCCCTTGTATTTTTCCACCGCCAACCAAGCTCCACACATTTGATTGGATCCTTGATCTACTTTGTTCTATCTATTCCTGGTATTATAACATGCTATATTCTGTCTTACACATTAGACAACTGTATGCCCTTTCCTTTTTAATTTGATTGGATTACCTGTAGTTTCAATTAAAAATTTTAAATTGAAGTTACATTCTCATTTTTCTTAAGTTTTTATGGAACTTTCAGGCTATAAAAATTCTCATCTTGCATGTATTTAGATAATGCTAAAAAAGTGCATTACATTTTTTAAAATTTTTAAATCACTTTAAAACACACACAACACCAAACCATAAATAAAGGGTATTCCCCAAGGGCGCTACCATATACATATAGTACATATATTAGGCTGCTTTCAGACCTCTCTCTGAATAGCACCCCCAGCCACGTCCAAGTTAGGGAGCTTCAGCCATGGGCGGTTCCCAAGCTCCAGCTCTCACACCCACTCCCCCTCGCAACAACTATGATCCAAATATATTGCAATCATCTTGACCACAAGAGACGTGATTATGAGGCTCATCACCATCCAATCAATAGGTCATTTTTCATCCCACTGAAGGCTCCAAAAAATACTATATGAGAGCCTTCCTAAAGGTGACAGCACAAGAACAATCCCAAATGTAGAGGGAATTGTCATGTTCTCCTACGAGCTACAAGAAGGCATGATTAGTACACCCTAAAGTTCCCATAATGAATCTCCAAATTTGAAATATTATTATACAGTTTTTTTAGCTTTATTTCATTTCTTCTCAAAAAATATCGAGTACTATTTTTTCTTGCTTTACTCAAACTTTATGACCATTTTTAGAAAACTTGGAACAGCCTGCAAGCAGCATAAGTGACATGTGCTAGAACTTACCAAAGCTTTTTATGGCGTAAGTTATTATACTACAGGATACAAAATATCTTCTTCAATATGGCCTCTGCAAGAATTTCAAAATGAAATCCTCCACAAACCAATTCTCAGCTAACATTATCTATAACTAAAGACTCAAATAGAAAACACATCCACACAAGCTTGAGCTGCATATACTCACAATGGGTCCATTCTTCAATGCATGCTCCTTAGCAAACAAGCAAGCCTGCTTTACGGCAAGGACATCCATGCCATCCACCTGTTTCACAGAAAGCTCTTATTAAACAAACTGAATCCCGATATTAACCATGATAGTCACAACTAATGATGTCAAGGATGCATATGTGTTGGTCTTTTAAAACTTCTCCTTTTCTGGTGTAAGTTCTAATCTGAAGCCTTATGTTCAAGAGATTACTTAGGATATTCTGTCCTCATAAAAGCCAACAATTTTATCCTGAAGTCATAGTTTATAAATTTATATTAACCCTGGACACAAAAAATTCATAGCAATAGAATCAGCTGGAAAATAGCACCTTGCTCTACTTATGCCAATTATGAACAACCATTGTTCTCTATATGCATTTCTGCTTCCAAGATCCCAGGATCAGGAGGTTGAAAGGCCTCATCTTAGAGAAGATCACAAAGTCCCCTTGAATCAACAACAGGATTTTGTACGAAACAAGTAAAACCAGACAAAGAGGAAGGTAACACATTCTAAATGTTTCCGAACATCAATATAAATTTCTTTTCTTTTTCTTTTTCTTTTTCTTTTTTTTTCCTACCCTTATTCCCTAGATTGCCGGATCGGGGCATGAAAAGGACCAGGATTACCCCCATCGTAGAATCAGTTAACTCTGAAGAGTGGGCTGATGTGATGGTAGTCAGCCAGGATGAACATGGTCCTGATAAAGAATGAGATATGGACCTTAGTAGACCTACCAAAAGGTCGTACAACCATTAGCTGTAAATAGGTCTATATTAAGAAACTAAATGCAGATGGAACAATTGATAGGCATAAAGCTAGACCGGTTGCTAGGGGTGTTACTCAAGTAGAAAGGGTAGATTATAAAAAAAGGAACATGGATGAAGCAAATCATAAATAGAAGTAGCCTACACAAATTTGAATTCAGTTTCAGAAAGCAAGATATTAAGAACAATTTGCAAACCTGCACAATCAGTTATCCATTTTGACAACATAATCATCAAACTCCAAAGTAAATTTCCTTCTAATGTTCAAATTACAAGAATTGCACACCGAGACCAGGAAAGTGGTGCCAATATATGTATAAAAATATTGTATCATATTTGAAAAAAAAATATCAAACCCTGCTTCCTGCACAACTAGCTTCTAAGATTCCCCATACATCTGATCTTGCTAGGAATAAAATAATAATTGCACACTGAAACCAGGAAGGTGGTGCTGACATATCTATAAAAAAAAAATTATTATATTAAGAACAAATTATTGAAGCCATTAGCATGTTTTGCTGATGCAAACTACTCACTCCATGTTAAAGGAGGCAAGTATGCCAAGGTTAAAAACCATCAAATAAGCATCAAAATTGCACGAGCATCAAGGAGGAATAGACTAGAGTTGCACAGAGTAACAGGGGGTGCAGCAAAGCAGCAATTTCCAAGGTTCAGGTTTCAAAGAACTAATGGCATCCCATCATATATGTACTAGCATCATTAAGACATGATATCCAAAATTTGGTATTGGAAGGAAATAGTGGATTTGAGTTGCAAAGAGTAAGAGGGGGTGCAGGAAAGCAGCAATTTCAAAGCACTAATGGAATCCCATCATATATGTACTAGCATCATTCAGACATGCTATCCAAAATTTGGTATTGGATGGTCACTTTTGCAGTTTTAGACACTTGGTTTATAGAATCACCGAAAAAATTGTCAAATAAATTCAGAGTTGAATTGGCTCAACAGTGTGCATAAGCCAGCTAAGGTGCATTCATAAAAGGCCAAACAATTCAAGAGAGTACTTTTTGTACTCTGGGGGTGGCAACCTTGGCCAATAAGTAAATATAAGAAAACTATGTTACAGCATCAATGACAACATGTAAAGCCAAGAAATGCTTAAATTAAATTCATTTCCAAAACAATGTAAAACGATTTGAAATTCATCTCTCCAGCATGACTCTCTGAATTGGTTAAATGTATTCCATCTGGAGTTTTTCAGCCTTGGCTGGTTAGCATCCAGACCCATTGGCAAGAAATTGCCCGTTAACATATTGTAAAGTGCAGTCATTAATCTAAATGGCTACTACCAGACACTGGATCAACCAAATTAAATTTCGACAGCAGCTCCAAAGGCAACTGGGGCCAAGTGGGTTTAGGATTCATCATTAGAGATCATATCAGACAATGCATATTGACATTTTTGAGCCCGACCTGCCCCCATAGCGACACTTGACTAAGCAGAAGTATAAGCACTTCTGACTGGTATAAAATACATGACTGAGATGGGAGGTCACTTGTAATAGAGGGAGACTTTGCCAGTGTTAATGAATGGGCCCACAGGAAAACCGCCCCACTGAGATGCAAGGTGCCCATATTTGTAGAGTTAATCAAACTGTTGCCTAATGCTCAAATCTCCCTCCAATACATGAGGCACAAGAACATACGTGTTGGCAGATTCCCTGGCTATGGAGTTTGTTAACAGATCCTCTATGTTCATCTCACAAGCCTCAATCCATTGATCACTCTGGCTTTCATCCCAACAATTGTGACTGTTGGAAGTGTACATTTTGCTTCATTCATTGAATCTTGTACCTAAGTAAACTAGATCACCATTACACACACCAATAAAATTTCAACATAGTTGACAACCAAAAAAGACAAAACATCTCTAATAAAGTTAGGCTTCAAGTCATCCAAAGACTTAACCGTCACTCCTAAACAAAAAGGTAGTTTATCTCACAACAACTAATCCAAATTAATCCAGGAAACAAAGAAAGAATCCCAATCTAATTGGAAACCAAGAATTAAATGAAATAAAGAAAGAAATCCTAATCAAGTGGGACCTTTGGAGATAGGGTATGCCCAAGGTTTCAAAAAATGCTAGGCGACCCCTAGGCAGCCTGCCTGGCGCCCAACGACTAGGCGGGCACCTAAGCGGGCGCCCAGAACCTCGGGCGCCCTGTAATTTTAAAAAAACGAAAAACGCCTAGCCTGCCTGGGCTCCCGCCTAAGCGCCTGCCTAGCCCGCCTAGCCGCCCACCCAGGTACATCCGCCCGTGTAGGGCTGCCTGGGTCTAGGCGGGCGGATTTTTGGTCCAGGCTGCCTAGGCGCCAGGCAGACCGTTTTTTAAAACATTAGGTATGCCCCTTTTAGGATGTCCATGTGGGTCCCAAAAAGGTCTACCGTCTCTCTCTTATTTGATAGTGGAGCTCATGGCATCTGTTCATCTTCTTCTTATCTTGGCCCTCCTTGGAAGGCTTCACGTATGAGATACCCAAACCATCAAGATCAAACCAGGAAAAAGTCCTTACCTTTTAAAGGAAGGCATGATCATCATAAAAGTATTATCATTTTTTCCTCTCACTATAACTATGTGAAGAGACATGTCTCAGAGATGATATTCCCGCATCGCATTACTCAATGAGTGACTGAAACATAATTTTTTACTTATAGCTGGAAAATTTCGGAACTAAATTTGGGATTGCAATACTTGGGAAGTAAGATTAAAAAGGCTAAATTTAATAACTGAACTGCTCAGTGATACAAAAACGTCAGGGTCAGGTCTACGCCAGTTTCACAGTCAGTTGGACCATTGAAAAATTTTGATGCCACAAAAAGAAAAATAATAATAGAAAAATCAGATTTTAGGAAAAGAATGGAACCAAAAAAACTTTGAATTAAAACTTTTAAACTTAAAAATCTAAAAAGGCTTATGTTAAATAAATTAGTAAATCGATGCTCAATCTAGACTTTTGGCCTGATATTGTTTCAAGCCCTAAAAGAAGGCAGGAAATTGGGAAAAAATTATGATCCTTAAAAAATATTAATTGGAAGGTCAAAATAGGATTGCAAGGCTAAGGTCAAAATAGGAATTACAAGGCTCAGACAAAGTGATTTGGAGTTACAGATTTTCTCATCAAAAAGTAAAATGGATAAGTGATTTTAGGTTGACATATTGAAAACCATTTCACCTGAAAACATTGAGGCATTAAATCATATCCAGTCAAACTTTATTTAAAGAAATAAGTCCATGAAAATGCCTCAATCTTTCTTGAAGTAACAGCCGTTTATCATTTTCACAAAAGAAGCCTTGCCTTTCAACTATATATCAAACAAATAAAGTATTGAAACCAGGTTAGAGAGCTTTGTAGGTGGAAATCCATGAAATTTTATACGTAGATTTCTGTATCTTCGCAAAAGTGGAAGCAAATTTCAGACAACTAAACTACCCTATCACATCCTTTATTTTCACAAAAGGTGATGAAGGTCTACAATTTCACATCTAGAAGCAGACGAGAGATACACCCTTTGCACTTCTTCATCAGCTGAAGCAATTATTAATTTGACATCCTAAGCCAATCCTTAAGAACTAACCTGTAACAACGACTTCCACCTATATTCAGTACAACTAAGTTGAATAGCAGCCACTCAAATGAAACAAGTAACATGTACCGAAATCATAATTGATACAATAGAATATTGAGAACTTAAGTTAACAAAACTGAGATGGAGGTTTAAATTATAAAAATGAGATTATATTTTAAAAAAATGTATAAAAAAAGGATAATCTCATTTTTTATAATCTCATTTTTATTTTATTTAATATAAAAAATGAGATTATCAATAGATAAAACTGCAGTTCTCCACAGAGAATCGATTTCCATAAATACAACAGTAGTTACTTTATGTAATTACGTTGGCTTTTCATCATAAACTAGAAGGACATTCACAGTATACGTAGAGCCTTATGAAATTTATCTATCTATCTATCAATCTATCTACCTACCTACCTAACTACCTACCTACCCACCTATCTATCTATCTATCTATCTATCTGTCTGTCTGTCTGTCTGTCTGTCTGTCTGTCTGTCTGTCTATCTGTCCATCTATCTAACTATATATCTATCTATCTATCGATCATATATCTTCATGTGTGTGTACATGCAGTTGTTTTTCCAATTCATATAAGAATGATCTTCCTTAGGTTAAACATACATCTGTCTCTGTGTCACTGACATTTTTAATTCATATAACATGACATATATGTCTAATTCTCTATGAATGGTGCCATATTATATCTAAGAAACCGACCATTCAAATAAAATACACCAAATACAACAGCTTTATTTTAGGTTGGTAAAAGGCTCTGATGATGATGAAGATGACCAACTTACAAAAAACAGCCATGTTATATGTTATCAACTAATAATATGGGAATGTTCCCAATGATTGCTCAGAGCCTCAAAGTATCAAGGCATCTTGCTGACAGTCCAAGACATCATAAAATTCACTATTGGCACCACAGGGATGCCATTAGACATCAGTGTTCTGTACATCGAGTGATAAATCTTTTTTAAAAAAAAAAAACGTTAGTGAGTTTGTCATTGCTAAGAATTTAGCATAGTCCACATTTGTAGCTTTCAATGTCACCTTACCTCTAAAATTCCCAAATCTGTGATCATAAGTTGCCAAATGAGTTCTATAGATTGAACATTTCAGCATTATTTCATGATGAAATCCAGTGATAAATTAAGACTTCACAATCTAAACTACACAAACTAAATCAAGTAACCAAAAATGTCAATGCTTTAGAATAAAGAACCACAGCCTGGTAGTGTACAGTTTTGCCTCAGACACCAGTTTTTGGGTTCAAATTCCAGCGTAGTCATCTCTACAAAATATCTAGGTGATATGCTACATCTGACATCTTTAGACATCACCTCACAAAATGTATTTAGAAATTCCTTTTTCCTTGATGATCAAGTATGCATATCAAGTGGTATAGCAATCTACATTTGGAGCATTCATGATGAGGGTAGCAGTTTCTAAATGCATTTAGTTACATGAGGAACATCCTATGAAGAATATGACCATAGAAAATAAAAGAAAATGAATATTGTCAGCCTCCAATCAATATATGCATCATGACCGAAAGAAATCAGAACCCACCAGAACATGTTATGACCCATGTGGTAGTTTACAATTGTTCTCCGTCATCGACCATCCAATAACTGGACAGCGATAGACACTTGCAACCATAGGCTCTCTGTGGTCAAACAGATCATAGTATACTTTCCTAGTTACATTTTGAAACAGACAATCAGAGATCTTACTTTGGACAACAGAAAAATGGAAGCACCTAAAGGAAGCTGATACACAGATATGTTGGCAAAGCACAAGTAGGTCTGTACACTGATATATTCTTAATGAACTCTGCCATGAAAAATCCACGGTTGCACAAGATGCAGCCAACTTTTTCTCATCCTAATTATACAAGGAGGTTGAATTTTTCAACATTACCCAATGCACAAGCTGAGTAGAGCACCTATTCACCATGACATTGTTTCAGTGAAATGCATTGGAATGAAGAGTCTCCATGCTCTAATCAACTTCGACGATATCAGAACCTTAGCCTCTAATCTTATCTTTATATTATGAACTAATCAACTTCATTACATAAGATTTGGACAAAATCAAACTTAAAGAAGTCCACAGTTCTTCAAAAAATAAAGTAAAAAAAAGCTTCACCTTCAATCCAGGAACATAATCCCCACGCTTATAATAAGCTGGACTCTTGGCAGCTCGCCATTCTGCTGTCCCCATACCATCTGGGGAAAACACAAAAATAAAAATAAAAAATCAGAAGATGCCCCATTCATGATGGGAATATGAAATCCATGACATTTGATGTTTAAAGTCATTCCATTCAGTGAACAATCCAGAGGAAGGAACATACAGAACAGGAGAAAGATAATGGTCAAATTTCCTGTAAAATACTAAGTGATGAAACAGCAGGGATTACAAATAAACTCAGGAAATCCTACATCTGTTGTCAGAAACCACCAGCCAATTAAACACATAATAAGAAAACAAAAGGAAATGCTCATTTCACAGGTTAGATAGATGAACGGGGAGTCTAAAAACCCAATACGGAAAATAATTAAAAATCCATGTCAAGAGGAAGCCACTAAAAGACTATAACAGATCAAAGGAGTAAAATGTATCGGAAAAACCCATTATTGAAGATAATAGATAAAAATCCGGATCAAGAGGAAGCCGCAAAACATAAGACAAGAGGAACAAAAACATCAAAGTCCATTGAAAAAACCAGAATTCTCAAAAGTCAAGGACATGGGTAAGGAACTTACAGTGATTATTCTCACAGACAAGAATGGCAGGCAAATCCCACAGAGCAGCTATGTTGAGAGCCTCGAAGAGCTGACCCTGATTTGCAGCACCATCACCATACAAAGTGAAGGTCACAGTCTCATCCTTTGTGTACTTCTGCCCAAAAGCAAGCCCACACCCAAGGGGAATCTGAGCACCCACAATTCCATGGCCCCCATAAAACCCATTCTCCTTCTTATAGAAATGCATAGATCCCCCTTTCCCCTTTGAACAACCACCCGTCCTTCCCATAAGCTCTGCAAATGACTCCACAAGAGTGCCCCCTCTCCCTAGATAGATGCAATGGTCCCTGTAAGCAGTGATGATACAGTCTTTTCTGGTAATCGCCGCCTCCATGCCCACCGCTACTGCTTCCTGACCATCATAGAGATGGCAAAAGCCTCTAATCAGCTTCGCCTTGTAGAGAGAATCAGCAGCAATCTCCATCCTTCGCATCAGAGCCATGTCTTGGAAGAAACCCATCAATTCTTTCGGGGTCGTTTGGACAGACCTTGATGGTGGCTCGCATTTGTGGCTGGTAAAGGGGACGCTGGTCTCGATCGTTAGGACCTCATCAGAGGACGACGAGGCGAAGTTTCTTCTGGAAACTATGGAGCCCAGAGTTGCAGAGTAAGGCGAGGAAGAAGGGGTTAGCGCCATGGCGAGAGGCCGTAAGAGCTTGGATCGAACTGCCCCTGAGGGATTCATGATTGATTACCTCTCTCTTTTCTCTCTCTCTCTCTCTCTCTCTCCCTCTTAAAAAGAGATGTGTGTTTCCCTTTGCGAGGGAAAGGATACTCCTTGTATGTAAAACCAAGCCCCTCGCTCTCCGTTGTTCTATGCGCTCTGATACTTGTACCCTGCAAACTGCAAACCAAGAGCCACGATTACTCGTTTTATGTTCGTATTTTTTAATACCATATATATTATGCTCTTAATTAGGAGAAAACAAGCAATTTTCCTTTGCATTTTGAAAAAGAAAATGCATCAAAGACATTCTCACATTGTGCACTATTTTTAGTCTTTGAATGTAAAATGTGGTGGAGTTCCATAAAATTAGATGGCGTGTATCACAATAGAAAAGTTTATACATAATCGAGGCTCTAAACAATCAAATTAAAACCCATCTCAAAAATTTCACTAGAAGATGACTTTTTGATGCCTAAATATCGTCAAATTGATCATCTCGGCATCAAGATGCATGTACATGAGAAAAAAATAGATTTCAAGTTTTGGAAATAATACATCTTGTAACATTTTCTTACACTGTCAATTTTCACGTTTTTTAAGTTTTTATAGATCTGTCCAATTTACACTACTTTTTTAAGCTTTAAATTTTATGATTAAATATGAAAATATATTTTAAGGCTATCATAAAAATTTCCAGTATTGAAACTATATTTCTCGATACTATTTGAAGATGTGCTTTACTTTGATTATTTAGAACCTCGACTCTATTCAAACAGCACCCTTTGATGAAAAACAGCACCCTTTGTATGCCATGTTTTCATTCCAACAAAAACATGGCATACATCTAGGAAAACAAAAAAAAAAGAAAAAAGCTAAAACTGAAAACTAATGTTGGTATAACAAAATGCTCCATATTTTTTTCAAATTTTATGTGCAGGTCCTACTTGCTTGTGATTTTTTATTTTTGCATTCTCGCCCCTTATCTGATATGCGTTGTCTCAAACCAGGTTTCTATTTTATTTTTTTTACTTTGTGATTTATGGGTCAGTGGTCCAATATTGGAAGCATCGAGGAGCCTTATATCTTGGTTTTTTTAAAAAAAGATATATTAGTTTAATGTTCGAGACGTAAACAAATAAAACTTTAAGAAAAAAAAAAAAATTTAAAACAATCGACCTGATGTCTCTAATATCGGACTGTTTTTTTTTTCCATTTTTTCTAACAAAGCGGGCTTCTTCATTGAATTTATAGCTTTATATATTAAGATTTTGGGTTCGAGATGAATGAGACGCATCTTTTTGGATAAATTATGGCATGTGAGTATACCTATAAAGTTTGCTTAAATATTATAACTATTTCTCATGAGGAGGGTGAGAGTAGTACAAGGAGTTAGGTAAGTCAAATAGTAAAAGTGTTTTTTAATTAGGTAAAATGTCTTGATGGACAAAATAGGAAAAGAAATGGCGGCTCGATGTTAGAAGTATCGGACTGCATCATTTTTTTTATTTTTTATTTTTTATTTTAAATTCGAACTAATATCTTCAATATTCGACTGGTATGTTTTAAGAAAAAAATACTAAGTGGAGCATTGTTTAATGTTTTCAATATCAAACCTCTCTAAAAATAGTTTACTTTGATATCCAGGACATCCCCTAAAAACAAAAAGAAAGAAAAATTCTTATTTTTTTAAGATTTAGAATTCTTCTTTCTTTTTAAAGGCATCTAGGTGGTTGTGCCTATTGAAGATTAGGGAAGAGCACTTCATACATGAAACCAGTTATTTTTTACATGGAAAAGTGGCATTATCTAAACCATCGGATGTGACAATAGACGGTCATAAGTGGTGTATTGTTGACATTCGAAGTCCTAGCCCTTTAATGCATTTCCATGAAAACAAAAGAATGTTTGTTTGGCTCAGAATGTATGTGTGGATTGTTTGTTATTTACCCACACATTAAAGAAGTGGCCGCATTGTTTTAATTTTTCAGGAGATTTAACGATAAGATTCGAACTTGAGACTTGAGATGTAATGTTTCAATGCAACTAATCAAACCCATTTTAATCCTATGATGCATCCAGTCCTCGAAGTGTTGAGAAAATAATATGCCAGAGATTTTGATGAGCTGATGTCAATGCGAGGAAAACGCAAAAATAACCCTCCACGGCTTGTTTGGACGTATTCGTTATCACTTATTTAATTCATCTTTTGTAATACAAATAATCTTAAGGAATTATTTAATGTTTTTACTTTATATTTAAATAATTTATTAAAAATTACTTATTAATCGAAACCAATTAAAAAAGAGTTTTGTTAAACTACGTGTATACCGTTAAAGTCTTCAACATTATTTCGACTAAAAAACCCGCAAAAGTCGGATGAAGAACATAAGAGACTTCTCACAGTGGTGCTCTCTCTCTCTCTTTCTCATTCCAACTAAACAAGGAAATACAAAATCTCAATACTTATTGGGACAAACAGGTATTCAATCTTGACTGTCATTTTCCTTTCCATTCTTGGGTATAATTTTGCTTTTTCTCTTACACAGTTTTGGTACTCTTAACTGTTTCTTTCTCTAGATTTCAGGGTTTTCCCATTGATTTTCAAGGGTCTTCTTGACTATAAATTTGCTCTCTTTCTTGATTATGATCTAGAGAAAAAAACCAGATTTGTTGGGAAATGATCAAGATAGAAAAACCAGATTTTTATGGTCTATTTCTTGACTATGATTTTGCCCTCTTATGCAGTTTGGCGCTAACTGTTTCTCTATCTTGCTTGACTATGTTTTTACTTCTTTGATTCATTAAACATAAAGAGAGATTCTGAACCCATTAGAAACATGGGGCAGATGAGTGAAAAGGGTGATCCCAAAACCCACATAATAAGGAAATAGGGGGTCTAAGAAATTATTCTCACTCTGTCTCTCTCTCTAGAACTCTTCCCACCTCTCTTTCTCTATCACTCAATACTGGAGTGAAAGCTATATATATATATATCAAAACCAATGGTTTAAAAAACGGATCGGTAACTCAGATCGGGTTTTTAAAAAACCGATTTAAATCGGTAAATCGGCGATTCGGATCGAGAATCGGATAAATCGATCAGAATAAAGCTTAAAAAAAATTCGAAAAAATTATTAAAATTCATTATAAATATTGTTTTTTAGGAACTCAATAAGAAATGAGGATACTTCATTAAGAATTTTCATGTTTTTGAATGAATATGCGAATATTGATATGTTCTTTCCCTGCATGAACCGCCATTCAACATTTAATTTATATCACACAAAAGGATAAACATATAATTATCATGGAATAAGTATATCAACATACATGGACTACAATAAAGCATAAAATTAGTAACATATGATCTAAAAATAAAATGATAGACGACGTTATTGTTCTTCTTGGTCACGCTGGTGCCATTAATTGAATTCGTTTAACAATTCATTGATTCGATCTAAAAACGAATCATCGATATTAGCAGGCGTCTGATTATTCCCAAATCCCAAAGTGTTAGTGTTTTGTTGTGTTCGCAATCTAAAATCCCCGAAGATTGTCCATCCTTCATGCTTACCTGCACTGTCGTGCTCATCTCTACACTGTTGTTGTTGGGACTCGATATGTGAATAATATGGCTGGGATAGGATGGCCTCAAAATCATCATCTCTCTCATTTTCTCTTTGAATAATATGGATTAAAAAAAAAAAAACAAATTTTCAAAAAAATCGATCATGGATTAAAAAAAAA